AGATGGGTGTGGTCTGTTAGTCGGAAGAGACCCCAGCAAACTATTCTTTTTCTCATTTTGTTTAACGACATTATTTTTGAGGGGTTTTATTTTCTTTTTGGAGGGCAGAGACTTCGTGTGGAAGCTAAACTATTCGGCAGGTCAGTCTGCCTCGCTGATATGCCACCACGGAACCCAGCAGTGCTATGACTTAGGCAACAATACGACAGTTTCTTATTTTAGAAACTCTTCCGGCAAAGTGACCAGTCGGCTGACTATACACCCCGTGACCGGGGTACACCGTGACATCACTATCACCTGTGGCCACTCCAACAGAAACGGAACAAACTTTACTCAGCTTCGATCATGTCGCCTAGAGGTTTACCAAAAACCCGAAAATGCCGAGTGCAATGCGCGTAAAATGGACAAGAACAGTGTCCGAATATCCTGCACGGTGGGTCGGATCTTCCCAGGGCTCCAGTGTCAGGTCATTGAGCATACCCCTTTCCCAGGGACCCCTCCTGTTCTCAGACCGGAGGCCGCCACTGTCTACGAGTCGACGGCTCGGTTCTACAACAGTGAGGAAGAACGATACTTCCGCGAGTCTTGTTCCATGGACCTACTGGTAACGAAGACCGGGAGCTACGTCTACACAGTGGTGGTGTCGCCGGACGTTCAGTCCAACCACAGCGCGTCTCTTGTGGTCAACGTGGACGGAGTTATTACCATCGAGCGCCCAGCAGTCGTTGTCCGAATAAAAGGACCCGAGAAGCCTGTGGATCTGTGCTCTCACACCAGCAACGCCAAAGTCCGCCTGGAATGTGAAGCTGATGGCTACAACGTCATGCCGCAATTCCACTGGAGAATTGGGAAAGATGTGGTCGGGCAAAAAGGAAGTAAAAGATTTGCCGTTTTTGGAAATAATCGGAAATTGAGTTTTTTCAAGTCAACTATAAACATTTCAGTGAACAGAGAGCAGAATCAAGCAAAAATCAAATGCATAGTGTCGCCAAATAGGAGAAAAGACAGAATCTACCCCGAAATAAAACACGATTTATATGTCCTTAAACTTCGCTGGCCCCCGCCCGACCCTCCGATGTTCATTGATTCAAGAGGACGTCTTCTCAACGGCAGTGTGAATCTCTCTAACACGACCTCGGGAAAATTTGCCTGTGACGTCACAGGGGGTCAGCCTGCCGTGACTTCTACAAGCGTCATATGTCTGAGGCTGGGGGTGGAAAGTGAAGCAGATGATGGTGAGCATACTGCACGTGTCAACGTCACTTCTTTGGGACAGCGTGTCAAACTCTTAGCGCGTCACCGCCTCAGGGGAGAGTATGTCTGCACGTGCATTGCTGCCCACGTGACTGGATGCTACCAAACCTCCTCAGTGCTAGTTGTGCGGTCTGGAAACGGCGTAACTTCAGGGTTCAGGCAACGGGACCTACGATCTACTCCCCCTGAAATCTTCTATCTCCACTTATTTCTCTGGACTACCGTTGCCTTGGGTATAATTGCCTTCGTCACCTTCGTTGCCATTATTGTTTATATGGTGGTAAGAAAACGTAAACCCACGAAGCTTAAGCCGTTTCTGTGTGGCGTGGTGCATTCTTATGAGTCAGTCTGCAGCATACATGTCCGCACTAACGTCACCACCCGGATGTTGCCGTACGCCGAAACGTCTGTCTGGCCGGAACCAGCCACAGATCCAGATGGCTACCTTCAGTCTTTTGATCGAGACATTAGAAAGCCGCCACAGGAAAACGGCTCCCGTCTCAACGAGAACGAGTATCTCTCCCCGTGTTCTTCTCTGTGTTCTCTACATGGTGAATCTTTCCAAAAAGTACAGCCTATTTTGGACAGTATCGAACGTCCTGAAATTGGTAATGACAGTGCCTCTGTAGATAAAATAAGTAACATTTCGTCGTTCACCTCATCACAAGAAGATAATAATATACATGATGTAAGCCATTTCATGAATAACGCCGAAGTGATTTTCAAAGAGGACAACACGTTTGTGCAAAATTGGATTCAATCATCTTGTCCGGAAAGTCTTGAAGAAGAAGATTTCGAAAAAGAAAAGCGTTCTATGAAGGAGGGGGAGCTTAGTTTTTGTTTTCAGTCGGATAGTGACCTAAAATATTTTTATTTCGATAAGACATGTCTTTTTGAAGAAAACAGTCCAGCAGAAGTAACTTGCCCTGAAGATGTCATGGACATGAGTGAACTATACGACTACATCTGTGACGTAGACAATTGTGAGATTCACGAAACAAGCAGTGACGTAGACATCTGATTCTCTGATGTAAATTACTCAGTCAAGACAAATAAATGCGCTTTGAGTTTTCTTCAAATTGTTGGTAACTTTTGAAGACCAGAAGCAAAAAAAAAAAGCTTGAAAACTGTAACTGGTTGCTTATAACTGTATTTGGCCAAGCCAGCTGTGTGGGCAAAGGGAAAAGCCGTCAGAGTGTGTATGAGCATGTAATAATAAATAATAGATAGCATCTGTATTGCGCAAATCCCAGCTCAACAGAAAGCTCTATGCGCTTTATAATCTAAACTATTACCCCAGCAGACCTGAGAGCAATCTGAAACAAACCAGTCATATGCTCCCCCTCCCCCCC